TTTTTGTCTTTGAGAGAGACAGTAAGACCAGGATGACTATCAAAATGAATTGGACCGCTGCAAAGACTGGTCTCGACAGCACCAAGAATAGATTCTTCATATTTTAAAAGTCTAGCATCTCTTAAAACAAGGAGTAAAGAAGTATCTAATCCTTCTTTGGTAAGGGGCTTTGCACCGACCTGTACCAATCCTATGTGCATGTAATTCCATTTCTGGGAATGCTTTTTTATAGAATCCTTATTCAAAAGTTGTATTGAAGCAAAGGAGTTAGAAAGTGGAATATCTCTTTCTTCAGTAACAATGACATAATCATTGTTTCCAAAGAGTCTAAATTTAGAATGTTCATAAATTTTATCCAACTTGACTTTTGGAATAAACCAATTTTCAATAGATTTATTGAAATCTTCTATATTAATTTCTTCTCTATTTATTGGTCCTTGATCTGGGGACATTTGTGATAAAGAACTAGAAGAAGACTCAGATCTCCTTAATAAGTTCATTTCAAAAGACTACTTTCTTCTTTTCAATAGATTTCGACAATGCTTACCAACGGTCTTACTACCCCTCTGGGCTTTACTGCCTGGAACACATCCAGAAATCACTTGAAAAGATCTCCACGAAGGAAATCGCCTTTACTGAGAATGAATTTATAAAGAATATCTTTATCTACCCCTTGGCTCTGATACCATATATATATTGGTTGAATGTATTGCATGTCTTCATGGTTTATACATATGATATCTTTCCATCTATAAACTCACATTTTTTGGTTGGATAATCTAATATGATATCAGAGTTGGGGTTTGCCCCAATTTACTTCGTGTCTGCCCCCTATATATATTGGATTAAATGTTTCGCATGTCTACATAGTTTATACATATAATTTTTCTCCACCTATAAACTCAAGATTTTCGGTTAAATAATCTAAGGTGGTATCAGAATTAGGGTTTGCTCCAATTTACTTCATGTGCACCCCCTCGTTCTTCAAATTCCACAGTATCGTTTCTAATGCGGCTTATACATAAAGTAGATAAATGATGTAGGGTACGTTAACGGATCTCACGCGAACGAACGAGGTCCGAGGAGTTTATTGTGTGAATCCCGAAAATTGTAATGATATTCAAGAAAGAGGAAGGGGTCGTGCACGTGTATTGGGGAAGAGGTGGGTCTCCAGGCAAACAAGAGTCCTTTGCTTTGGATCTGGTGCAACTTTAGTGAGTGATAAAAAATTAAGATGGGGATGGGGAGTGATGATGAGAGAGTGTTGGGGGTGGGGGAAAGAATGTCGCCTTTTGTTTTCTATTATTAATGAAGGAGAGAGGAGGAGGAGATGGGGTTTCGATCTTGATGCCTTCTTCTTCTTGCCTCTCTCTCTCTCTTTTTCACGCTTCACGAAGCTGATTGTGGAGGAGCTCACGAGGGACTTAAGGCCATGTTTGGTTCAGCTTTCTCAATGGACTTTCGGCATGAGGTGTTTGGCAAGTCATTTTGAGACTTCATTGGTCAAATGCTAGCATTTGGAATGCTGAAACCAACTTTTTTCTCTCCAAACTACCATGACTTGTTCTAGCTTATTTCGGTTTTGCCCCTCTTATTACTGTTCATTTTCTTCGTGAGGGCGACCGGCGAGAGTGGCCGATGACACCGGATCTGGACGACAAAGGGCCGGCGAGGGGCCGGCTGAGGTCGTGCCACCTAGGCGACGAGGCTTGAGGTCGCGCGACCCAAGCGTCATCGGCCTGGGTCGCGCGACCCCAGGCGGACATCGCCTGGGTTGCGCGGCCTCAGGCGACGCGCCTGGGTCGCGCGGCCTCAGGCGTCGCGCCTGGGTCGCGCGGCCTCAGGCGACGCGCCTGGGTCGCACGGCTCCAGGCGACGGCCGCTGGCTCATTGACGGCCGCTGGCTCACTGACGGCCGTAGCCCTTCGCCGGCTCCAGGGAAGGGTATTTTTTTTTAATAGAAAAAGGGTCCCAAAGCCCTTTGCAAAAACAAAATAATCAAACACTACTTGGATCAAAGTAGCTTTACAAAGAATTTTTTACCAAACGCCATTTGCATTTCCTTAAGAGGCTTTAACCTAAGGATATTTGCATTCCTCCGATGCTCATTTGTAAAGTTGAACTAAACGGGCCCTTATTTTAAAGGGAAAATTTCATTTTGGTACTCAAAGTGGGGCCTTTTTCTCAATTTGGTACCCAAAGTGGACATAGTCCCAAATTAGTATCCAAAGTGTCCATTCAGTCTCAATTTGGTACCCAAAGTGCCCATCAGTCTCAATTTGGTACCTGAGTTCGCCGGCCGGTCAAATGCTCACCGGCCAAACAAGAAATTTACTTGTTCAATCTACCGGAACGATTTTTTTACTTTTTTTTTCTTTTCCTTTTCCTTTTCTTTTTTTTTTTCCTTCTTCCCTCCGCCGGCCATAGCCATGGCTAGCGGAGGTCGACGGCATCGGGCGAGGGCCGCCCTCGCTTGGGCTGGCGAGGGTCGCCCTCACCTGCGTCGGGCGAGGGCCACCCTCGCCTGGGTCGGCCCTCGCCCGACGCCGGCGAGGGTGACCCTCTAAAAGGCCCCACTTTGGGTACCAAAATGAAATTTTCCCTATTTTAAAAGGGACTTCCCTTTTGTCAAGCAGGATAGTTAGTAAACGTTGGGCAGATGGATTGCCTATTCTGAATTTTTTGGACTAAAGTCAAAAACTTTGCCTCGTGAAATTGAGACCTTCTAAAGTTAATAGAGAGAGAGATGAATATACTTCACTGCATGTGTTATCGAGTGGCCTGGATTTATTTCCCTTTTTGTTCTTTTCTTTTCTTTTCTTTTTTCATTTTTACATTCGTGCCTTCAGTGCGCGCTCACTCCCCTCTCTCTCCCTCTCTCTCTCTCTCTCTCTCTCTCTCTCTACGAACCTCGATGCCTTCCGCGAGTGTAGGGCGTGACTTGAAGTCTGCAATTCCTAACTTCAAACGACTCAAACCTAGCGTTGCTGCTCATGGATGGGATGGCCATTTTGCGCGCAAAGTGGTCGGGGGAGGGACCATATTTGGAAGATTGAGTGTGACGGTGGCAAGACGGCCCAATGGTGGTGCGCGCCTAGCGACACCGTGGTATCTAAGGCGGAAGTGAGGGGGGAGGGGGGCGGCATGTTTGGATTTCTTTCATATTGAGCTAACCGAATTGCCCGAGTTTAAAAGATCGCAAAAATTTGACCGTGAAGGTAACTATAACTTAAATCAGTCAATTTAGTGCATACAAGCATAAAAAAACGGGGCTTAGTAGAGAAAATTGCCTCATCGAACTTTTTTCCGTATAATCTGTTTTTGTTTGTCCAATCAGATCCCTATATTATGGTCTTTATGTTTGTATTGGATCTTTCAGGAATTGTTCACATAAACTGCCACGTCGCTGAATTTGACTAATGTCTTATTAATGTCCTTATCATATGATACGATGTATTCGTGTATATAATCAACTTGACTGGACAACTTTGTGCACATGCTCTAGCCAATCACATTCAATCAAAAGCACGAGGAGAACGCTTTTAGAGCTCCCATCATCCTCGTGTGTAGCGCACCAAGCATTCGTAATTTCGTACTTCGATCTAGCCTAATTGAAATGGTTTTTGATTTTGAGTTGGGATTATTATTCGGCAGTGTAGAAATATTTTTACATATTCATTGATAGGTAAGTAACATGTGTGTTTTGTAGTTAGTTTTCTACCCGAATTTCTTCATATGTCAATCATTCAGCGGTGAATATGTAATTTATATTTTACACACACAGTGGACCTAACAAAAATCCTTTTAAATTATACCTTTCAACCTTTTCCCAAGGATTATCAGTTTCATAGTTTGACAACTAATTTACATGGAACAATCTAAATCTTTTCAAAGTATATATTGACATGCAATATCATATATAATTTCCTGTAATTTCTGTGAATTTACTTGTTTAAGTTTTTCAAGGCTCTGGAAGGTAAATAATGAGCCAAAAAAAAGTTAGAAGTTGCATCAACGGTAATTGACAGTTGACCCTGCCTCAATATCGCATGAAAAGCTCCTTTTTTTATACTCCATAACCTAGGAAAAGAAGCTCAAACATGACAAAGAGGGACCTAAGGTATACAAGATGCAAGACTAAAGATTAAAGTACATCGACATCGTAGACCATTGAAATGAGCAACATTTATTAGCATTTATGTCCATTTAGGGATAGCAATTTGACTCACCCTAGCAAACATTCGCACCGCCCTGCCCCTAATGGGAGAGATAAAAAGGATTTTGAGATGGGAGATGGGTTCAAATAAGTCGCCCCACGCATAAGGTGAGGGCGAGGAAATGGGTTTATGAGCTTCGATGAAGCATCGGAAGGCTTAAAACGTGCTGCTTCAGCAGTTTGTTTGAGCAGACAATTTGTCTGGCTATGGCCCGACTCATTTGACCCCGCAAGAGAATGTAGGAACCTTTCTGGCGCTCGGAAGCTGCCGCTAGCGTTCATCCGCCTCTCTTCCTCTCTTTTATCTTCCTCCATTAGTGAAGCCCCCATGGTCAATGTTCAGCCTAAACGAATTGAGCTATCTCAACTTGCAAATTGCCCTGGGGGGGCACCATAGCGGGGTACACGGACCCTCGGTGCTCGAGAGGCGCTCGACCTCCCCCTCTCTCTATCTCTCTCTCTCTGCGCAATCATGTATTTTAACATGTGACAAGCACGTGATCGTTGATCGGCAACGAACTCAAGGGGGCCATAGATACAAATCTCTCAAGTTCAGGGCTACCTGAGACAAAGTCACATGTACTTTCAGAAAATAACCTTCCTTTCATCGAGATTTTGGAGTTTACCCAAGTAAAAATCTATACTGAGCTTGATATGTGGACTTGGCTTTTGAGCTGTTATTCATGTGCTTGGTTCAGGTTTTGATTGAACGTTTGTCTCTTGCTCTCTCCATCTCTCCCGTTTAAGCCGTCGTAATTTTTTTGTTGCAATATGCAATAGGCAGTTTAGGAAAACAGATGCTGCTACTATAAAATTAGAAGCTAATTTCGCACATACAAACTTTCCTTTTCCCACATATAAATATGAGAAAATTGAAAAGCACAAAAACAAAGGAAATTGCCTAATGACTCGAGCTACAAAATTTCATATCCAGAACGATATTTCCCATGGGAACATTGCCAAGAACTTGCAGCGAGCTCTCCTCTCCATAACAGGGGCCCTCCCCCGTGCGCGAGCAGACAAAGCTTAGATCAGCACGAATTTGAACAATTTGTTTCCAAGCGATGGTCAAGACTCCGCTTTCGACCGGTCGGCGACTTGTATTCTTTCAGTCTTTTTTGCTTCACCATCAGGAGAAGCGCTGCAACACGTTAAGCGAACAGATGTATCATTACCGAGAGTAAAGCTTCAAGAGAAATTCTAGTGCAGTTAGATGAGCTAACTTCAAATCAAAACCTACTGAATTTATCGAATGCCACACTGTCTCCACTATACCGATATCATTTTGAAGTTTCTTTTACTATTATAACAGTGCATCTTACGAGGTAGAGAAACGGCATCGATTATTTTTAGCAGAAACTGATAAGCCAAAAAGAAAAAAGCACCTAATGTAACCTAGTCTGCAGAAAGTATAGGGAAAACTTTTTCAGCATTCATCCATGAAATCCCCTCCTAATGATTACTACTTTTTGGTACTTGGTAGCAGTCAGGACAATAGCCTTAGAACATGAATTATACCACCATCCATTATCACCCCCAATAAAGACCTAAACAAAGAGAACTGATTTTAGCCCACTGCAGTCTCTTTCTTTTCCCCTCAATCAGCAGAATCTACTCATTCATTTGCCATAATGCAACTTACAAAAATCACAGCTGCAGTCTCTTTCTTTTCCCCTCAATCAGCAGAATCTACTCATTCATTTGCCATAATGCAACTTACAAAAATCACAGGCAAGCTTGTTGGGAAAAACAAATTCAAAACCCACCTTTACGAATGTGATTCATATGTTGTAGAAAGATGTCACTAGAGTCTTAACTGCTGCATAACGAGAGAATTTTTATTTTTTTTTCGACATACCCAGTTCCACCATTTGTTTTAGATATTCATCATGTAGATAAAAAAAGAAATCAAAAGCAATACCTATAAGTAAAGAATTGCATGCATTGAAGCTACTTTTTTAAAACTTGAAGAACGAAGACTTAAAGAATGATTAATGCAATGCAGTAACTCTCATTGAGTGGACGTATTAACCAAAGACGGAGAAAAAGAAAAAAACGGCATTTAAATTTAGAAGCGACTCAAGACCTGCTAATGCATGTTCCATTATCTACAACAAGCAAGGCGTCCCTTCTTGCAGATTACCCAACATCCTATGTACTCGAACATATGCACACTGTAGTTTGTGTCTTTCCTCCAAGGTTGTACTATTTTCCACTAAAGCCTGTAAAGGAGAAGAGAGGAGACCCATGATTAAACTACAAAGCCAAAGTAATGACTGCAAGCTCATAGATGCATTCTTTATAAGAAATAAAAGTAGAGCATAATCAAAGTACGAGTATTAGAATAATGAAGTTTCATGATGACCTTTCCGCATGGATTAACAGTTCAACACTGCACAATACAGTATGAGCACATCTAACCAGAACGTTTTTACTGTCAAGCATCATTCCAATTCTTAATCGGTCCCCCTCAGAAATTCCAAAAGGATCATATCAAGTGAAAGAAATGGGAAAGCCTGTGAACAACTAAAACAAGCACGGCGAGAAATAATTGATATAAACTAGAACGCAAAATCAAACCTGTAATGATCTTAGCATGCATTCAATCTCTGCCTTGAACGAAGATAGAATCTGTCGAATCTTAAAGTCCTTGTGCATCATTTGAAGGACATAAACAATGGTGATAACATTAGTTGAATGATCTGTCCAATGGCTACCATTTTCGGAACAAGACAATGAACTCCTATCAGATATCAATGATTCCATCTTGTTTAAAACTAGTTTCAGAAGTTTGCGACTTCGATCAAACAAGAATAAGCAAGGTATGACATAATAATGGGTCATGCGCTCAAGAACAGCAACAGCAGCTTCATCATCATCTCCTGAAATGTTGGGGATTACGACCTGAATATATGAATAAAACGTCTGATTAGATAACAACAAAAATTTGACTCTTGAGCCTGCTGATCAGAAAAAGAAATGGGCAACCGACTTTCCTAAGCAACTTAAGTATAGACCAATAGTTATCAGATAGAAAACCAGTAGATTACCCAATCATAACAAATATTAGTAAGAACCATGGGACACATGTTTGTAACCACATGAAAGACTGTTTCCTGGATAATTCGAGCAAAATATCATTAACATTAGTTCCAAGCCAAATTGAACTATTACTAAAAACCACGCCACACTCGTATGTACCATATGGAAGCCCAATTCAGAGATTATTCAAGCAAAATATCATTAGCATTAGTTCTAACCTGAATTTTGTTGCAATCGAAGAATCAAGTGATTGAAGATGAACTGAACAAACAGAAGATCGATGCATGCTTTTGTGAAATGTATAGAGAGAGAGAGAAAGAGAGAGAGCTTACAGAAAAATGATCAATCAGATATAGAGCAAGAAAACTGGCCAGACTGTCAATAGTCTGCTCAGAGAGTCTGGTTGGCTTAGAATCCAATGTGACAAGCAGTCGGAGCAAGGCACATGCATTGTCACGAAATGGTTTTAATTTCTGAAAAGAAACAAACTACATAAGAGCTCAGTCTATCCGGAATATATTTACCGAGTACTTGCTGGAATGAACTGTTAATTACAGTAGATGCATAAGAACTTTGTTCAAGAATAAATAGATGAAAAATCAATTATCATAAGTTGCAATAACTCAATCACAGGCAGTCAGTTAAGATGACTCACTATCTGATCAATTATCACTTTCTCTATCATCTGAAGGACTGTAGATTCATCACCAATATGCATAAGGCACGAGCAAACAACACTCGTCAATAATTTAAGTGTTCCGCAGTTCGAAATCTTTGGCTCGTGTTCTTTAACTGAAAGGGTATTATTATCTGTCGAAAAAAGTAGTTTCATCAGGAAAGGAAGCAACCACAAGGAACTACCCACAGAAGAAAAATGTTGGAGATTACCAGGAGAAACTTTGAAATGCGAAAGTAATGTGATGAACAAACTGATGATGTCAGATATCCATATATGTCCAGCAGTGTAGGCTGAATCAAGAACCTCTATCGTGCGGAATAACACTGAAGGTTCCAGATCATTGCCTGAAATGAATTGGCGATAAAGACCAGAAGATGAGCATAGTAAAATGGAAAATAGAGGAATCTCATGAGTTGCTTGTGCGGTATACCACGTGTTTCAACGTGTTTTATAAAAATATGCATCCACAGAAAAGATTAAGACTGTCAAAGTGCAAAAATTGTCTTCTCATGTGTTACTGACTTGCATTGATGCAATTTAGCTCTCCTTGGCCAAAACATACCAACAAATTCGGACATACTTGAGCTTAAAAGACCATAACAGTGCCTGAAAGCAAATCAACACTGAACTCAGCCTAATGATGTTTTAGTGACCATATTCATAAGCTGCTTCTCTGGTAGATGCTATTCTTTATTTAAGTGCAAGGACATCTATCGATGGAGTATCTAAAGATGATTTCTTCACTTAAATTCATCATTAAAAATAGCAAGAATATCATGTTGATGCACAAATAATTTATCAAGCATTCAAGTATCTAATAGTGCATAATGATTGCATCTCGAATTCAATCTCAGACATTTTATGGTTAGAGAAACGTACATAGACAGCATTTGGCTATTGCCTTCAGCAAAGCAGAATCCAAATGAGAGAAATAATAAAGGCAACAAACCGCAAGTTCCTGACAATCTTGAGAAAGCCTTATGAATGGTCCATAACTAACACTGCCTGCATTTGACATTACAAAAAGTCAGATGTCTGCTACACAAGTAACTATTAGTCATGAAAACTTTGTGCACTAAGCCTCACTCTCATCCTGACATTCGCAGAAAAAATCCTGAAGTCCATATTGTAAGTTATCATATTCCCACTGTAAGGCGGGTCTTGATGAAGCAGATTGTCCCACGCGAAGAATAAGACGTAACACCACCTACAAGAAGGCAAATTCACAAAGTACTTCATTGATGAATAAGGTAATTTTAGAAGAAACGGTAACTTCTGCATGCTGCTAGTAATAGCTGATATTTCTTTTAACAATGCAAGATTCAACCCATTTAGATCATTAAAGAAAAAAATATTACCGTAAATAGCTTTATGAAGTACCTGGGTAACCGACTGATGTTTTTCACCCAGCACGACTAGCAATGTAGGAAGCTCTCTTATCCAAGCAATCTGATGGTCCAACAGTTCCGGATCACTCACATCTAAATATATCATGTTTTGTCCCTGCCAACAAGCAAGATTTCTTTCTATTATGCAGAGTAAGGGACGCAGGAAACAGAACATGTGACTTAGTCAACAGAACAAATCTACAACAGAAGACAACACAGTTTCTCACATGCTCTGTGGACATCAATGTGTGTACTATTATATGGATGCAAGAGTTTACTCAAAACAGTTCAATCTAAAATACGCTTGAGTTTACGCAAGGAACTTGTACCAAACATAAATGTTTCAGCAAAGGGGGAGCAATAATAAAAACTCACAGGTATCATTATTTCCTCGACAATGGAAAGGAAGGCCAATTTCAGAGAAGACTGATGATTGCAATCTCTGAATGCCCTCGTAAATGCCTGAATTTTCCATAACAAGGGGGTCAGCAGCATTCATTTTTCCAAATTTCCCCATATCATCAGTAAAGCTTTGGTTCAAAAGAATAGGATGCTCTTGGACAGGAAATGAATCATAGGAAGGAAATAAGAGGGAAAACTCGTTTGTTATGTAGTTGCAGGAGACAAGATCCTAAAAGCATGTAATCAACCAACCTGAAGAAGGCGAGACTTCCAATTATTAGGAACCTGCGCCAAAAGTTTTGGTATAAAGGGGAGAAGCAAGTGCTTGTCGCTGACTGTTGCTTCACTCTTTACATCGTCACTTATCTGCAAAATGATAGGTGGTTTCCTTCAAAATCAGTAACAGACATTTCATCGAAGTCCAAGCAACATAAGAGGAAAGATGGATCAATAATATAAGATTGTGGTTAAGAATTCTGCAAAATGATAGGTGGTTTCCTTCACTCTCTAATTAGATTCTAGCTCACTTCATGACCAGAGTTATTCTATACAATCCTTCATTCCCAAAAGAATAATGTTCGGTATATTGATAGTGGTCTAAAATTGGTATATGGAATAATGTGCCAACCCTTGATTAAATGTTGAATATGACCTACTTACAAAAATGCCCATCCACAGAAGTGATGAAGACCCAACACAATCACATTTTTTGTTACTCAATTGTCATACAGGATAACCCCACTCCAGGCCAACAAAATACCAATCTTGGCAACCAAACAAGTTACTTTATGCGACCCCTGTATAGTATATTACAAGTGTAAGATACATTGACAGAAAATTAGACACAGATCAAAATTAGTAAACCAAGGAATGAAATAATGAAACAATCAAACCTTCCCAAGCAGCATTACTTCTACAAATTCAAGAAATCTCTCTGACAGATCATCGGGAGGAGAGATCCATTCGCTACAGCTCAGAAATATGTCGGCAATCACAACATTCAGAGTGAAGTACCTATCACTGTCCTGCCAACCACAAGAGAACTTAAAATGTAGTGCCTGAAGATAATTTTAGCAACGATGCAACATCAGTCATGAGTACACTCACATGAGAAATGTCATCAGATGAAAAGACAACCTATATTTTGAAGCTATTTAACTAATTGAGTCTCTTGATATGTATTAAAAGCTTGGAATAGGGCCCTGCTTATGTTAGAGTAGAAGGTTAAGGCAGAGGGCACAATACGCATTAATCAAATCCAAGTAGAAAAGAGCAACTTCCTGTAACAACTTAGATCTGCGAATGTATTACTTGAGATCCAAGGAGAAAATTTAAATACTTGGAAAAAACTAGATTTCTGGCATTGGGCTTAGAAGTGTTGTCTAACTTGGGCTCGGATGTCTTTTGCAAAGCCCCTCATCAGCTTGACAATCTGGAAACAAGCTTATTTAGTCAATTCTCTCTCCATTTCCTTCATATGGCTTATTAGATTCCAAAAGTAAGGATTTTGTGGAATGGGGACAATAGACATGTCCAAGCCATGGGCACATCGATTTGGCTTTACACAGTGATTGGTGGACGACAAGATGGATTTGGCCCGAATACATGTCAGAAATCCAAGGTGGGATAAATAATTCAAATTGAGAGCATTAGTTTCAATAGTGGCTAATCTATGGTCTAAATGGTTTTCCATTTTTTGATACTTTCGGCTAAAACCATAAGCATTTCTTATTTATCATCTAGTGTAAAAGTAAAGCAATTCCCTTTACTGTGGACATGATAAACTGATTATTGTATTGTGATACTCACTCTATTAATTTGAATACATAATCTAGACATGATGGCAAGAGATATGATGTGCAAGTAGCTCTAAAGAGCATAAACCGGTACGGCCCAAGAGACACATTTGGTTATTATACCATGCAAAGCATATAAAGATATTTAATCCTAGTTGGATATCGTTTGATAATGTATCATTTACTTAGTCAGTGAGCTACTTAGCTAGTGAAGCTGACTAACCTCAGAGGAATTTATCAATGAAAATCTGACTAAGCTTGGACTAAATGTGATAGCTCAAAAGGTCATATCACAGTTTCCCCTAATTGGATGGTTGAGTTCTCTGTCATGTTATTATATGCAGTGTTATCTGACATTCCAGTGTTGCAAAAACCATTCATCTGCCAAATATATCGTTCGATGATCCCACTAAATTACATTTATAGATTTCCCAGTGCCACCAAATTTTTAACTGCTTTAATTCTGTTGTTGAACTCAGTAACAGAAAGAATCTGAAATTATTCATCAAATGTGAATCAAACTTAACAAAGTAGAAAAACACACACTCACTTGGGATGGGAAAATTATGTTCGATGTATGAGTCTTACCTTCTGCGAAACACAGTGGGCTGCATTCAGCGGAAACAGTACACATAGCCTCTTCAATATAACCGATGCCACACCTTGATCCAATGTGGTCAAGGTGGCTCCTCCAAGAGTAGCTTGTAAATCAGACTCGGCCTTACCAATCCTAGAAATAAAAAACTTAACAGCAAGATCTATGCTCTGAAGTATGCACAGCATACAATCAAATGATTGGAACTCCAGTGAAGGCATCGAATTAACCACAGATAAAATCTCCCTGAGGCAATTGATCAAAACTGGCACCAGATCCTTTAATTTCTCCAGGACAAGAGCGTATCCTACAAGAAAAACGTAAGGGTTGGTGTTACCACTTACAATTACAATAACTAAATCGCAATAACAGAAAGAGAAAAGATAAAAACAAAAACGACATCTAAATACACAGTATGGACAGAGTCACTGATGTCTTCTCATTATGACTAAATTATTATTATTCTTTTTTCATAGACAATTTTTCTAGATCACTTTCACAATAAGAATATCAGAAGGCGTGGGTCTGAACTAATAACATGAATCCCAAAAAGGGTTGAAAACTATGATGGATAAGTACATGCAAAAATTACTAACATAATACAGCGGGGAAAAACCTAGGTCTCTCGGCATTTACACGTGATTCCTTTTTATTACTCCTCATTGTTTGTTTCCCACTGCAAATCTCGTCAAATTAATTCCCTAGAATTCCGACCAGTCCTTTCCGAGGTCATATATCAGCAGCCACACAAAATGCAAGTGGACTATTTCATTCCAGTACCTTGAGCATAATCTAGTATACTTTAGTCTATCAAGTATTTTAGCATTACTCTCAATCCTTGAAGCAATTTTAGCGTTCCATCATTGGTCCTCTTAACTGAGCTAACTCTGCATATCAGTTAGCAATCTTAAATCTAGTTTTCCGAAGAATCAAAACTAGATAACCGACGAAGTGTGGCTAGGAAATGGTGAAAGTTCACAATGCAGGGACAGAAATGAAATCACGCAAAAGTTAGACGAACCAAAGTTCATTAACACTTCCCTGTCCTTTATGAATCCCTTAAACTCAAACCCGAATCCAAGATGCGCAACTAAAAGTAAATTTTAAACTCAAGTTAACTCCAACCCAAGACACTCAAGTAGAAATAAACTTCTAAAGAAGAAAATGTCTAACACCTCAATTTCTTGGAGGTGATATGTACATGACAGATCCACGATTTCACCATCTAAACAAAAGACACTTGAGCAACCCCACCCCCCCAAAAAAAAAAAAAGAAAAGAAAAGAATACTATTCCCTCCTTTACCATTTATAGCACCAGGAGCCACCTTGACAAGCATTGACAACCAGTGTGCTCAGACATTGTAAGAATGTTTCTCTAGATCCTATGAAAGACTCACTAATCATTAAGAGAATGTTGACACTTCAATGCAAAAGCTCCAACAGGTGCAAGATTAAGTACCCCTACAACATACTATCAAAATCTGCTTGCATCCAAATAAAGGAATGAGAAACTAAAGGCTGGGCAAAAGACATTTACCAACCGGAAGAACTTGCATTCACATCCTGCTCAAACCCATGCAATAACCTTTTTCCAGCTGTTTTCTGATCAATGTTACAGAGATGTTAGGAACCAAAGATAATGTCTGTGCATATTCAAAATTGAAACAAGCCTTAACATAATCGCTAGTAAGTTGCACCCCCGAAACACTTAAGAGAATAAAGACATGGTCATTTGAAGAAAAATGCGTTGACCTACAAGAGGAACATTTGTTTTGCTTCTCTCAGAAAGTACTTCACTCAAGATTCTTGTTTGGGCCACTTATACATATTAGTAGCGGTGTAAGAGTAATCCTGAAAACCCAAAAAGCCCAGACCGTTTTTGTCCGAGATATGATCGGGCCAGTCTTTCGGGCCTGATATGGTTATGATACAGGCTGGTCTGGGCTAACCAGCCTGAGACAATGAAGCCCAATTAGCCCAAACCGACCTCAATAATTGTTTAAAAAATACAAAAATAATAACATTAATGGCACTATGAAACCATATTCTTCCAAACTTCCACTTCACCTCTCTGTATCCTCACTTCAAAATCCTAATGTCCACATAAACCAGGACATACAATTAATAAGATAACTCCCCCAATAAGCAAGCTTCAGAAAAATAAAGCCAACTTAAGCATCCAGTCACAGATCAGTAATGCTTAAAACATAAAGCATCAAGAAAGTAGCTACTTTTGACACAGGAGATGATAATAAACTTAAAATGATTCAGCTAGCTTTTTCTCCACCAAAAACCAACAGACATCCACAGAGAAAGACATATAGCTGAACAATTTAAAGTAAATAAATGGAAGATACCTTTTCAGATGAATCATCCTCTTGGTCGTTGCATGGCAATAATGACAAGCAGCACATAAGTCCAGCAAGGGCAGTCTTCAGCTTGCTCCTATCTTGGGCAAAAAGTTGATGCTTACAAAGTATATCCTCATAGTTTTGCAGAATCTGCCAATAAATGCGAAACTTTTAGGAGTCCACAAAAAAATCCAGGATTAAAGGAAAACAAATTATTGAGCAACACCTAATGTTCTAATGGATACTAACAATAAGTAAAATACACTCCAACAGTAATATCCTGACATAGCAGCTACAGTATGACCTTCTCTCCCTCTCATACACGTTTTTTGTTTTCTTCCACTCTATTGGGAGTGGTATATTGAAATACCTTCTCAGCATACAAAAGAAACGTTGGGGGATAGTGCAGAACAACGAGGCCAAGAAATCTGAAAGCCATCAACCGCACATCTACTGCCAGATGTGTCATTGCATTGAAAATATACGCCATCATGAGAGAAACGAAAGGCCCTTGATTGCCCTGCGATGTCAACTGAACAAGTTCCATAAGAGAATGCACCAATAAACTCTAGACAAATTGTCACTTTTCAAAGAGAATATTTGAACTTGGAAGTAACTTTCTCCCTTATTAACAACTATTGAATAAGAGTTAGGTCCAATCTAATCCAAAGAGTTCACTACTCAGGTATTAGAATAAGAGGGATCCCTACTTCATCCCCCTACACACGAAGCTCCTCTGTGGAGGATGGTTGTCTATCATACACAGCCTTCCCCCTTACTTTTTTTGGCAAAAAGACTGTTTACACCACTGAACCACGTGACCTTTCGATCACAATATCCTAATCGTTACACTAAGGTCATCTTCCCCTATCATATGGCCATATGCCATGAAAATGCATGCTGTTGGCATACAATAGACAGTCAAATCATGAAGACCATAATAACATCTCATAAGGCATGACAACCACAAAAGCACACATTCTTCAGTTAAGAACTTACTACATTCTAAGAAAATCCAAAGATAAAACAAGTTCATTTAGTTGTAAATACAAGTTTCATGCAACTACAATTAATATAGAATAGAAAGTCGAAACGTCTGTCAACTATCAATGAGGTCATAAGGTGCAGAAAACAAAAGTCAGACAATGTGCATCCCTCCATATCTAACTTCGAACTTCCACTGGTCATTCACATTTTTAATGTCACATCTTAACCTACAGTCCAAATATATGGAAGAATCAAAGATTTGCTAGCTATGATAAATGGAACTCTTTCACCTATTTAGGATAGTGCTTTCTCTTGCATTATGCAGCAAACATCAAAATGATGCAAGGGAACTCACAGCCTACCTCTTTACAACTGGGAAATATTACAGACTTAAAAAGTTGATACAGTGCCTCTCTAACCAACTTATCATCATCACCAATTCGCTCGCGCAATTTCTCTATAACAGCATACATGTGTAGCCTCAACTCATCAGGATGCTTCAGGAATAAATCTTTTATGCCCATCAACGCATCTATACCAACAATAAATGTAAATTGAGTTAAGATAAGCATTAGATAAGACATAAACATTATAGCAGAAGAAACAAGTAGCTCATGAGCTAATTATGATGTTAGAGCTGTTTATAGATAGTAAAGGATAAAGAGAAAACTTTTAGTACATTAGAAATGTACAAAGACCAAGATAAAGGAAAATAACCTGGCAAAACCAAGCAAAAGGAAAAGATTATAAGAATATCTAGAATCAAAACAAGAAGACCAAAGCCCAATTAAAGAATAGAAAACTGTCACAAACAATCTCTTATTGCGTTCTTTACAAATCCATCACATGAGACAAAGAGGTACAACATCCATGACATTTTACAAATTGAGTCTCCTACATAGGCATGCCAACAACTAAAAAGCTGGATGGCATGTCTTCTTATGACCCATACTACCTAAGACAAACTAGAGATACGATTCCAAAGCTTGAGGGCAAAGTTACAATAAAGAAAGAGATGGGCAACAGATTCACCTGAATGCTTACACATCCAACAGTAATGCGTAACAATGGAATTCCATTTTCTGAGATTGTCAATTGTAAAAATCTCATTCCAAGCTACCGTGCAGCAAATGAAAAAATTCTAGGAGAAATATTGAACAGTCAGATTGCTCTTGAGGGTACGAGCAAGCAGAAGAATTCCCCATTATAACAAGACTTAACACTGAAGGTCTTGTTATTAGCTGAGTCCCAAACCATCTTGTCATCCCCAGAGCCGCGAACTTTAACAGAATAAAGAAGAGCTAAAAAGGAGTCAATCGAGGGAAGTTCCCACTCATTAAAACTCCTTATGAAACTGGATTCCGATAACCAATAATCTGAACCATCCTTCAGAGACATAGAGTCAGAAACCATGGTATCCTTGTCAGCTGTAAGGAAAACTGACTTAAAAGGCACTTCACTACACCACAACATCATTCCAAAAGTAAACTCTTCTACCTTGTCCAATTTCAAATTTAATCCACCAGATAAAAGAGCTCCCCTTATTTCTAATTTATTTCCAAACTCAAACCTCATATAAGCAGAACAGACAACCTTGGTGCACCAACCATTGAGATCATCGTTATATTTTGCTTCGACAACTTTCACCCAAAGAGAACCCGCCTACAGAAGCTAATCTCACAAAGCCATCGGCTCAATAGAGCTTTGATTAAAGTGCCATAAGAAAGAGGAGAACAATTTGCTACAATTGATCACCCACAGCAAAAACTTTAACGAAACAATAGCAAAAACTCAGTAGACTTGACATCAACATCAACCGGAGTACTCTAATAACTATACGTGTTTCACGACGAAATGCTAAGTGATTCACTTCTACCATTCCAAAGTGTCCCCTTGAATACAATGCCAACAGTCCAGCTCAGCTGGATTCAGGTTCTAAAGTCTGATCCAATCATCTACGTATCCCTGTCCTAGATGGCATACATAATCGTTAAAAGAACAATCTTGACATGTTTCAATCTGCCCTTTTATCAAAGGAGCTCCGCAGTGTGTTAGGACGTGCGACTGGCACTTAGCACAAAACTCTCCCTCTAAATCCAACGCCAAAAGTCAAGATCACTTGCATTCTCCCAACTAGCGAGAGTATTCAATTGCTAGTAAGTTACCCCGACGAACTTTCGGATTGTGGTGGGACGTCTGCTGGAGAAGCTCCTTCAAAGTCAGACCTTTCTTGTTCACAGCTAACCCCGCCCTATCCGACGCCACGCTTTGCTCGGGAAGAACGATTGCTGCGGCGGAAAAAACACATCAAATTTCAATGGGTTACTCAATAGGCCACCGAGTCCCTTTCCGACAGACCCGCGGCGCACGCCACATGGAAACTGCGAAACTCCAGGGCGAAAAAGCTCCCATACCTTTGGATTTGATCTCGGTGTTCGTAGCATTCTTAGCCGGCGGCAGCTTCCTCCCGACCTTGCGCTTGATTTTCTGCAGCAAACATTGCATTGATCAACGTCATTACAGAGCACGGCCGGGATTCAACATCGAAAACGAACGCGCGCGCGCGCTTGATCGCGTGCGCGTATCGGCGCGCTCGTGCGGATTCAGAAGCCTGTTTCTTACTTTGAAGTCGATGCCCTTCTTCTGCTGCTTCTTCGACGGAGCCTTGGGGCGCACCATCTTCGCTGCAACTCGCCGGAGAGGACAGAATCGGCTTGCTCCGACGACCGAGGAATTGATCTTCGAATGCGACGAGAGGCGACGATGGAGCCGATACAGTGGAGGTGGATCGAGCTAGGGGGTTTACCAGAAACCCCGCCCCTCTGCGAAACCCTAGAGCACTAGAAACACTCAAAGCAGCACGAGTCAATTTTTGCTTCCGGAATTTTAGTAAGGTTTTGAGGGCAAAAGGGTAATTTACCAAATTTAATTAATCGATGGGAACTGCCTTCCGAAAATTCTGAGAGCCCAAAGCAGCTTTCGATTTTGCCAATGCCAGCATTTGAGCAAAGGGGTCTAAGAAAAAATTAACATCTCCCTTCGAAAAGCTAAACCAAACACAGCCTGAATATGAGGAGGGGGAGTTAACTGACTGGTTAATTGTCGATTGCAATAGTATCTTAGGACTTTATTTGTGTGTTAAGAAATGCATGTGTTCATTCGAATTGGTTCGTTATTAATCTCGTTTGTTTGTACTTCTCAAATTTGTTCACTGTATTAGCAGATGGCAAGTTCATCAGAAGAAAAGGCATTTTGAAACTTGGAAGATGTGGAAACCTTTTGTAAGTTGTGCATTGAACACATTGAAAAAGGCAATCATCCTGCAAACAACAAAAGAGAAGGATGGACAGCCATAATTAACAAGTTTAAAGAGTTCAAGGGCAAAAAGTATGATAAAATCAAATAAAGAGTAAGTGGCGGGAAAAATGGAAAAAATGGAAGCATTGGTTCAGAAGGAAATAGAATTAGGATGGGATCCAAAGAAGAAAGCTATTTATGCAAGTGATAAATGATGGGAGAGGAAAATTCAGATTTTTCTCCTTCTTTTGTTACTTTTTTAAAGTTCGTGTTTTATGATACAACTCATGAACATATTTATTATAATAGGCCAATCATACGCTTAGAGTTTTAGAACGAAAGGCATATATCCGGATCTTGAAGTTTTGTTGGATAGAATGTTCAAAGTTACGTTGTTATTGGAAGTATCACATGAAATCCTGCACAAGATTTACGTGTTGATGAGGATATTATGGCCACGCAACTAGATTTCGCTGATGGTGCAGGATCTACTAATGATAATATAAAGTGTAATATAGATGAAAAAATTATAGAGCCAATTGAGGCTCGAAGCCACAAAAGAGCGACACAGAGTTCGGTGTGGCAAGCTCAAGGAAAGAAAAGAAATTGACTACAGCTACTAAGCCAACAATTCAAATTGACTTCAACTATTGATAATAGGAGCACTGCGGCAACTCTTGAGAAAGGAGTTTGATCTTTACAAGAAAATCATAGAGACGTTAAAAGCCATACCTGAAATTAAGCAATACCGAAAGTTATACTTTTTTGCACTCACTCATTTTGCGGAAAAGAAAAACAATAGGCAAATCTTCATAAACTTGGATGGCGATGAAAAACAAGTGAAAATTCTGATAGCTCATATACAAAGAAATGCCATGAAGATATAGATTTTGCGAGAGTAGATTTGGATCCCAATTTATATACGGTGGATCTGGATGATGTAAATGAGAAGGGCACTGTAACTGTAACGTTTGAATGGCACGTTTATGACCCATAAGTTTAGGAAATATTTAAGGATTTTTACAATTTTTAAGGATAATGAATTTCTTTTCTTGGGGCATATGTTAACACATTTATTGTATTGAAGGTACTCTCTTTTTAATTGAGAAAGAGTCTACTTTGATGTGAATTTTTTCCATTTGAATTTTTTTAGCGAAAAAAGAAATGTTTTTCTTGGGGCATATGTTACCATACTTATTGTAGTACTCTCTTTTTAATTGAAGAGTTCACTTTGATGTGAATTTTTTCCATTTGAAGTTTTTTTAGCAAAAATATTCAAATGTTATTTTTTATTTATAAATTTTTTAATACATATCTTTAACATTCTTGTCCACATTTAAATTATTAAAGTTGCAGACATTATTTTTTTCAATTTTAAACATTATGTTTTGTCCACTTTTCAAATGTGTTTTTACTAAATGGCATTTCTCTCAAAGTTGTTTCCTAATACACAATTTTTTTAATAATAGCCCTTTAGGTTAAAGTCCTTTGCATTTTCCCGGAACCACTTGAAAAAGTTGAACCAAATGCAAACTAGTCTTGTGACATGGGCTTTTGAACTTGGGCCAAAACAAGGTGTAATCCAATGCATACTTGTTATAATTTATGACCTGGGCTCTTTGGTTGTGGCTTTCTTGGCGTGTCAAAAAAACCCTAATCGAACTAACTGACCTTGAAAATTTTGGGTCTCTTTCCGGTTCGGCTAATGTGTTAAGAAAATTCAATCCGGTTCGGGGTCAAACTCAAACAAACCGAAACACACTTTCATAGGCCTAATTCCCTAAAAATATTCAACTTTAGGTTCAGTCTCAATTCTGCCCGAACGTTTTTTTTGTCTAAAAATAAATCACTGAGTTTGACTCTAGTCCAAAATCTACCATCGGTAACCCCTGTCCAAAAATCGTCGTTAGTCATCCCTAATTTCCGTAATTTTCATATCAAAGAATGGTTTCATTTTGAAAATAATTTTCCACGTCACCTTACTAATGTGGATTTGTAACCGACGTGGAAATGCCACTTCAAACAACTAATGACAATTTATAGATGAAGGGTTAACAGGGATAGATTTGAGATTAAATCGAAAGTTGGTGATTGATTTTTATTTAGACAAAAAAATAGTTCGGGGCAAATTTTGGGACTGGAATTAGAATTTAGGTTTTTTTCAGACAAAAAAAGTTTGGAGCAGAATTAGGACCGAAGCTAAAGTTTGGGATTTTTTTTAGAGAAAAAAAGTTCGGAACAAAATTAGGATAGAACCTAAAATTGAGGGTTTTTAGTAAATTAGACCCACTCACTTTCAGATTGTGAAACCCTCCCAATCGATGCCTTCTTCCACAGGGCCCATCTCTCCTTCCTCCACCCCAATCCTCGATTCATCCATAGATGGTCAGATTCATCCGTTAGGATGCAGAAAAGAAGGACAACGAGGTCTTCGTCTCTGCTGAAGAGATGTGCTTCTCTATACTCTCGATTCAAGTCAATTGATTCTTAATCTCAAGCTTTTCCTAGGACCGTTCGTTAGGTTTGTTGTTGCGTTCATTACTATTGAATTTTAGACAATCACAAAAGAAATAACACACAAGAATTAACAAGGTTCAGCAATAAGCTTACGTCCTCGGACAAATCTCTCACGGTGTTTCTCTCCTTTTTGTCGTGAGTTTTGCTTTGCCATTATTCTTTCTTTTTATACAGAATTAGGTTGCTACAACAAAGGTAACAAGCAACCTGAAATAGGAAAACACTCCTAAATAGGTAGTAAGATAAAAAATACAATATTGACAATATCTCTTTTCCTAGAATAAGAGATCCAATCCCGCAACACTCCCCCTCAAGTTGGAGCGAAGACATTGTCAAAGGTCAACTTGTTCACCATATCTTGGAATGCTCGTTTGGGAAGAGCTTTGGTGAAAATATCCGCAAGCTGATCTTCACTACGAATGTAAGGAGTCTCAATTGTCTTATCTTGAACCTTCTCCCTCACGAAGTGACAATCCACCTCTATGTGTTTAGTCCTCTCATGAAAAACAGGATTAGAGGCAATGTCTGTTGCTGCTTGGTTGTCACAAAACAACTTTGTAGCTTTAGTCGGAGTCTCACATCCCAATTCCTGAAGCAATAATCGCAGCCATACAATTTCGGATGTTGTGGTAGCCATGGCCCTGTACTCGGCCTCTGCACTAGAACGAGCAACAACATTTTGCTTTTTGCTTTTCCAAGTAACAATATTTCCACCCACAAATGTGCAAAAACCTGTAGTAGATTTCCTATCCACAGGATTTCCAGCCCAGTCTGCATCAGTATACCCAACAATCTCTGTGTGACCATTATTCTTCATCAATATTCCTCTTCCTGGTGAAGCTTTTAAGTACCGAAGCAGGTAGTTTATCAATTCCATATGCCCCTGTATTGGATTCTGCATAAACTGACTCACATAACTGACAAAATAAGCAATATCAGGCCTAGTAATGGTTAAGTAAATTAGCCGTCCTACTAGTCGCTGAAATTGCCCAATATCCTGTAACGGTGTATTATTAGAAACAAACTTACTACTATAATCCATAGGTATATTGGCCGGTTTGACTCCAAGCTTGCCAGTTTCCTTTAGCAAGTCAAGAACATATTTTCTTTGCGATAAGAATATTCCTCTGTGAGAACTTGCCACTTCAATACCCAAGAAATACTTCAATTTGCCAAGATCTTTAATATCAAATTCCTTGCTCAAATGAAGTTTGAGTGTTTCAATTCCAGATGAGTTACGACCAGTAATAACAATGTCATTGACATAAACCAGAATGACAACAATACCTTGATTGTCGGCTTTAGTAAACATCGACGAGTCTGCAGCACTTCTTTTGAAGCCGAACTTGATGAGTGCCGAACTGAGCTTACCGTACCAGGCTCTAGGCGACTGTTTAAGTCCATATAATGCTTTCTTTAATCTACACACAACTCCATCCTTATTTTGCAAGGGATGTCCTGGAGGAAGATCCATATACACTTCTTCTTCTAAATCTCCATGAAGGAAAGCATTTTTTACATCCATCTGAAACAAAGATCATCCACAATTAACAGCTACAGACAACAACACTCTTACCGTGTTCATTTTTACCACTGGTGCGAAGGTCTCTTTGTAGTCTATCCCATATGTCTGAGTGTATCATTTGGCAACAAGGCGAGCTTTATATCTCTCAATAGAACCATCACTATTATACTTGATTCTGTAAATCCATCGACATCTAATAGTGTTTTTCTCCTTTGGCAATTGTACCAACTCCCAAGTATGATTACGATCCAAGGCTTGAAGTTCATCTTTCATGGCGTCAATCCATACACCTTTATCCTTTGCTTCCAAGTAGCTAGTAGGTTCCTGTTGCTCCTCAATAGCAGATAAAAAACTGAAGTGGTTATGAGAAATTTTGTCATACCCAATAAATTTCTGGATAGGATGATGAACAGTGTAATAAGTGGAGAAATCCCGAAGACGTGTTGAAGGTCGAGTAACATGTGATGACCTTCGAAGTGAAATAGCTGTTGGTACCTCTTCTGCT